GTTCTGAACTAGAGAAATCAACAGTTGTATGCAAAAGGATAAATGAACAAGGACTTCTTGCAGCCATCGAATCACACCCATCCTTAGAATTGTGCTTCTAGGCGTCCTGAATCAACCAAGTTTTCGTCAGTGCCCGTGTATTGTACTGCTTCTACTTCTGCCCTCGAATAGTCATGTAGTTGTCCGTATTTGTTCTGCGGTCTGTAGCCTCAAAACCAACGCATCCAGTTAACACTGAATTCGGACGGAGGCGGTTGCATTGGTCCCCTCTTCCTTTTAGCTCAATGGCCTGTAAAGTATAACCTGAAAAATTTTACTTGCAAGATCGTAGAATATACTTAGAATCGATCGAGAAGTCATGGATTCAGAGAAGTTTGGGAACAACCGGTTGGGATATTTTTAGGGCAACCTTTCGCTTTTTACTCCAAAACTTCACCAGGCCACTTGAATCAGTATGCAGTTGTGTAGGGAGACGGAGGGCAGTGGTTGCCCTGTGTCGGACGGAAAGGGGAACAGACACTAAGAGGGAGGGCAGACGGTGCGACGCTGGCCTGGAGGAACGAGCCGAGAACGGGTCACGAGCGGCGTCAGCTAGTGAGTCTGAGCCAGGCAGAACCCAGAGGGTATTCGTCGAGAACGCAATAAATCAGACAAAAGCAGCCTCCCGGACCAACCCCAAGCAGAGTGATGCATCCACGGTCAAGCAAATCAAAAGCTATCGAACGAGTCCAGACCGATCAAAATGGGACGCGTAGAAGCGGAGATACGAGGGTGAAACGCGCGGAGAATACTCCATCATAAGGTCCCGAAAGTGCATAGAGGTGTCGCCAGCGAAAGCCAAATGGTGCGTTGTGGGAGGAAACGTGACACATTAATATACGCTTGCGTGAGTGGTGGGATAGTTTGTGATCGCGCCAATAAAGATTGTGCATCATTGCCGCGTCGTTGTTGCTACAATTAGAGCAGTATTGTACAGTGGACGGGGGCAATTATCGCGATAACAGAGAGATGAGCCAAGAGGTCGTTACGGCCAAATATCGTAATGCTATTTCGAGTGGTTCAGCCACAGTGGGGTTAGTCCAGGTGTTCCCTTGTGCTTCATTGCATTAACATCTAAGTGGGGACGGTGGAGAGTTGAGCTACAATTTACAACCAGATCAGCGCATCGATGCTTATCAAACTGGCCGCATTAGGGTTGTTCACAACTAACTCATCCATTCTAATCACGCAGTCGTCGACTGCGGCAATTTCCAACGCCTCATCCTGCTTTGGCACGTTTTCCATGCTTCATCCTAAATATCAAGCGTATGTGGACTGACTCATATACGAAACAGACAATGGGAAGTTGGTGTCGGTAAATTTGGATGAGGTGCGACAACGATATCTGGCCATTTATGTTTACTTGATCGTCTAGGGCCTAAATAGGCCGGATGCAATAGGCAGTTCGTGACAGCGGCAACTTACATTATACTCCTAAATCTCTGGATCGACTACGTCCAACAAGTGTGCTGATCAAATGATTACTTGTCCAATCCGTCACTTTACGTACTGGATTTAGGAGTGTCTTTACTTGTTGCTTCATAGGTGCACATGGTGGGACCTTTAAATCAGCCTTTGCCATTTTGCCGTAAACCATTTCTTGCATCATCCACTGTAGCCATATCATTTGTAAGAATAAGCAGACAGATATTTTTTAAAATCAACATCCAAGGTCACTGAGATCAATCTAATCCATCCACCTTTGCATATAAACCCTGGGATATCGCGCACCATCCCCGATCTTTTGTCTTACGACACAAAATTTCCAGTCGGCTGTTACGAGTTAGGAGGAAACATTTTACTGAGACTTTGTTCTTTAGAATGGACGCAGATGCTGAAGATATAATGAAGTGTTATGTGATCGTTGCTTCGTCGAGTTAACACCACACCCTACTCATTTTTCTACCCATTTGTAAACTTGAGCATTTTTGATGGTGCTCGCTTAGTAAATTTACAGTTAATAGTGTACTGTGCTGAAAATACATCTATTTAGGTATATAATGCTTATGCTGATTTGACTTGCCAAGGATGACCAAGTGTACTAGTTTCCTAACAGTATTGAGTCCAAGTAGTGGCTTCAACCTGAAAGACGAAACGGATCATTAGTGCTCAAAGGTCAGTGGTTAATTCCCGCTGAGAGATTAACAGGGGAGGAGCCCCGGGTCTCATAAAATAAACCAGGTGAACAAAACAACTCTCTTCTCTGCAAGTGGTGCACGGACTTGTTTAGTATACACTTGGACCGACGCAACATAGTATAAAAATTATACTTGCCAATTCGATTTGTGTATAGAGTTGCACGAATTTATCAAATGAAAAACCTAAAAGATGTGTGCTTCATAAAGTCACTGGTATGCAAACCCATCCAATTGGTCTTTAGAATGTAACCAGTGGTTTATTTCTCTAAATTTCCTTCCAAATGCCGAAACCTCTATATGTTTACACTGACAGACGATTTATCGGGTACTGTAAGGATTTACTTTTTGTCTCCTGCCGTTATTTCTCCATTTTTGCGTCCGGAAAGTAATATATATGCTTGCTAGGCCATATGTAGCCACACGCACGTATATCGTTGACGTTGGCAGTTTTTCACTCGTCAGAAGCTTCCTTCAATGTCTTTTACACCTAATGTATAGGGGAACTCTATGGCTCCCACACACATACTGAACTGCACCGCCGGTAACGTTATACGCTTTTATAAACAAGTGCACTTCATTATTATCCAATATTTGAATTTGAATTTTCGCGCTGCAGATTCATGAAGCGTTACCCGTTTTACTCGCGCGCACGTGTGTACATGAGTGAAAAGGTTTCGTTCGATAAAATGAGGACAAATTGCAGCTTCAAAATTGGAATACTAGTATTCCCAACCTGCTATCAAGCCCGTGCACATTACATGTGTAGTAATGTTATCTTATACTTACCCAACGTGTATATTTGTTACACAAGGACTAGCAAGACAATACACCAAGTCACGCCTGGGGCACCCGTTTGTAGAGAGCTCCTTAAATGCTGTATTTAGAAATGAAGCTACGTCGTTGTTGGATACAGCAAAGAAATAAAATCATGTATTCCCATTGATGTATTTATATGCTCCCATAAATTGAGAACGTAATTAAGAACAGAAGTAAACCTGTGAAGAAATGCTGTGTGATGTTGAAAGGTCTTGGTGCAAAGTCGTTCAAAGTTACATTATCGATTGTGTGCTAGTTCTACATTTTTAATACAGTCAATAGAGCTTGTAAAATAGTCAGCTGACTTAGGGTAATATCTTACCGATGTTTATGTAACAAATACATGTATGTGGTAAGTATGAGCTGGAAAGAGTACGAGATCGAGCGGACAAAAGTTAGACGCTAAATGGATAGTTGGAAAGCAAGGTAAGAAGAAGAAAGCCACTAGATGCATGCGTTTGGTATTGCTTCCTCAGTGCCATTAACAGTAACCGACGTGCCTATGTGCTCAACCGTATATTTGATCCGAGATTCTTGAGATGTAAAGTGAATTACGGAAGTGCAGTCTGTGAATTGTCAACAGCCTGCGGCTGACAAAATATTATTGTTGAACGTAAAAAACTGGCTTCGGCCTACTTCTCACGACAGCGTCTGAGAAACGGTGGAAGGAATTAGTGTAAAGCTATACAACGTTGAACGCTAAGCCGGACTATATCCAGTGACCTGATAATGGTATACCTTTATTTAGCGAGTAAGCAGGCAACTTTCTCGAGCACGGCGATCGAGTGGGATGAAGAAGATTGGCAGCTTCACGCTGAACCCACTTTGAAACATGCTCTTTTATGCAGGAATTCAGGGTCCTATCAGTTCTGCCCGTGTAACTGACTCCAGAGTCACACACGAATTGATAAACACTGTGAGAGTTGGACTCGATAGGCTGAGCTTCATTTGTTCGGTTTGGTTTCTTCCTTTTGTAGCAAGGACTACACGCAAATTGCTCTCCATCATGGCTGAGTCCCCTATGAAAGATATTTCAGCAAAATTATTTTCCTTAATAGTCATGTGCTCCAACTTTTCGGCCCTCAAAGTTGATTGTGCTTCTTCGTAAATCTTCCAAGACAGCCGTCTGACATGCGTGTTGATACAATTACACTAGCTCATCAGTTACCTAGTCAGTCGAGCAGATTTATCATGCACCACTAAATGGCGTGTTTACAAGTGTTCGCTTGTACTGCACGTGTGTGAAGCTGGTAAAGTGGGAGGACTTGCCGGAGCAAATCGCCTTTCGATAAACAGACCGCTTGAAAGAACCATCCTACCTACGACTGATGAGGATGTCCAGGTATAACAAATGATTTTTTGTTCTACTTAGTGGGTTTTCCGTTGAGATGCACTATCAGTCTTTCCAGCTACTACTCATACAATTTTATACTTTTCGCATTTCGCACTTCATAAAGATATTTTAAACTGCCTAAAGATACCGGTATGGTCTAAGGCGCATTCATTAATGGTGGAGCCTGATTAGTGTCTACCAGGAATCGGTCATTGTTCGCCCCGATAAGTTTAACAAGAGATTTCACTTTGGCAAGCTACTCAGTTGCAGCGATTATCATTACAGAAGCAAGTGAAGGCGGGAGCACGCTACATACAGCGAAAGAAATTAAGTGCCACCATCGGTCTTAACACACTAGAGTTTGGCCATCCTTGTTTCTGATTGGTTGAGGCTTAACATCTGCTGCCAAATTTCGCTGGTCGCCCGAAACAGCAACACATTTTTTATGTTATTAACTATCCATTGTGTGGTCCCTGGTATTGGTAATCCGAGTATGTTGTTCTGGACACAGATAGTATGTATCAGTACTTTGAGTGATCAGTCGGATTAGCTCGGATTTACCCGTTACACGACATCATTGACATTTGCTGTGATCACATTGATCGAGTATCCTTGTTGGTGACCGTTAATGAACGCACATACAATTTCCTGCTCTCCCCACCTCTCCTTTGCAGGCTTCTGGCGAATCAACGTGGGTAAATCAGCTGGACCGCAAACGCGAAACTCCACACGCAACCTAACGAATACCTCAAGATGTAGCCCACGCACTGCTTCGGCTGACCGGTGGTTGAACGTACAGAACCAATCGCCAGTCAATGACCCGCCTAACGCGGATCGATTGAGAAGCCGCCCTCGGGATCCGCGGACATCCACAAAGAACCATACCATCTTTCGCGGGAGGGCCTGTTCTTTGGGTGGGTCCATTGTGGATCGCGGACGCGGAAGCAGTTCGGACAAGATAACCAATGGGAGTTCGTATTCCAATCTCCCGTATTCCGGATTCCAGAGCGTATCTTCGTCACCAAGACCGCAACATGATGTGACAAAATGCTCCGGGGAGTGGTTCACTCCCCAGCGGACTACAGCGACTCAAAACGGGGCAAGTCGGAACGCAAACGAGCGACTCTTTCGACTGCGTGTGTGAAAGACTGCCCCGGTAAAGAGGCAGCAAGCACAGATCTCGCGAGATGCATTGCGCTACCTCGCTACCTGTTGGTTATAATGGCATGTAGGGTCAAGTAGCGATCTATGCTTAATCATTATCGGCATGTATTGGGTCGCTCTCTAGGCTGCGTCCCTCAGCAGGTTACCGTGTCGGGCAGTGTTGCTGCTGTGACATCGGGTCGATTACCCTCTTCCTAAGGATGACATGTGCTATGTTTTCTGTTTTTCTCACTGTGCATTGTGCATTCGGTTTCTAGGCCTAAACGCTTTTTGTATGAATTCTGTCACGATCGCCAGATCTGGATAAAATCACGTTTTGCTGGTTGCATGCTCCTTTCGTTATGTTTATCAATTCAACCGACAGGACGACGTCTAATACTACAAGCAAGGCAGTGTAAAGCCAAATTGCTTCACTGAAAGCTGCGCTGCTAATGTCATTCAATTTGAAGAGGAACGGACAACAAACAAACACTTATATAGGAAGGCACTTCAACATTCTCACCAGCTCCCGAATTACATTGGTTCACTGGGATGTAGAGAGCAGGAGGGAAGACCCTTGTCAGCTTCGTCGATTTCGATTCAGTGCAGGTTTTGTACAACTGGCAGCGAAGCGGCATTCCTTTGGGGATCGTCACTGTTGCAGTAGGAGCAGCTGAATCCTGCTGTAATCATCAGATGGCAATCTAACAGCTGTATCAAACTTTACTCTGTCTGTGCATCAGCAATGACCTCTGGTAGACTTTTTCAATCATTTATCGCACAGGTTGATAGGGCAGCCTCTGGACGGACATGAAGTATTCTTCGCTTGTATAACTTTTATTTGTGGTCTCGTGTCGAGCTCTTCACTTTGAGCCGAAAATGCTTTTGCAGCTCATACACAAGTTTGCCTCTTAGGATCCGTCTGGTGCAGATGAGATCTTGATGACGACAATAATCCATGGGGAGGAAGTTTAGCTTCTGGATTTGAAGAGAATATGTAAGTTTTCGAGGCATTGTAAGAGATTTCGAGCCACCACTCTGAACCTTTTCTAACAGGGCGTTTATAATTTTTGAGAGGGGATAGGTAGCTGGAAGTCCATACTCCAGTATCGCGCGAACATCTGAAATGAATAGGTTTCTGAAAATTGCCGGAGTTCTACGGAAGAACGATCTTCATAAAGTATACAACATCCTGTTGGCGGCTGTAACCTTTCTCATCGTGTCGTGTGATATTCTAAGATCGTGTGACACGATAACCCCAGATGCTTTTCCTGGGTGACATCCTTGGGATGACACGCCAATCAGACATGCACCGCTCGGATCTGGATCACCTATCCCTTACTTTTTTATTTCCGCTTTCAGAACACACCATGCCGCCAGCTCGGTGGGGTGACAATGAGCAGCCCACTGGCTGATTTCTTTATGCTCATGGTTGAGAAAAGAATGTTCACAGAGATAGAGCAGCTACCATATTACATGCACTAAGTTGATGACATGTTGGCTTTGTCCATCAGAGCAGCATGTCGCTCAGTTGGTTGAGCGCTTCAACAGTGCACCTACCAATTTACGTGTCACCTGCCAGCCAGCACGAGAAGATTGTCTGCCTTTCTTGGATCCTCGTATTAATCGCAGAGATAACGGACACGTTAAGAGATCAGTCTACCGAAACGCAACATGGTCTGGCCAGTACGCGCATTTCACAAGCTCTACACCAACGCGGTACAAGCGGACACTTGTGAAGGCTTTATTTAGTGGTGCCAGACGACTATACTCTACAGACTGTCTAACCAATGCGTTGCAACGAATTACAACCAACTGATGTCACACGGTTACCCTCGAAGGTTTATAGAGAAGCAGAGCAAATCACGGAGACCAAAAGACATGGGACAGGAGGCAGCCAAGAAGCAAGTTTGTATCTAATTACTTTTCAAGGCTGATTTCGTCACTTTAAGGACCACAAAGCTTTTGATTTTCGTTGCGCGTAGGACCTACTATGCTGCTTAGGTCGTTATCATCAAGCTAACCATCAAGTTGCCAGTGCTTCATCCAAAGCAAGCTCTGCTAGTCGGCGCCAGTTTTCATTTCCTATGCCAATTCACATGTAACTGCGAAGCCAGTTACATTAGCAGAACCGATAGAGCATTGTGTCCTCGGATGAAGAACACGTACCGAAGTGGATCCTGTGTGGGATAAATGAACAGCCTCATCCTACCCAAGCTCTACCTTTGCGTAAGCCGCCGGCATCCACGATAGGTAAACACCTATTGATTACTGGTCACCGGATCCGGCTCGATACCACATTCAAAATTTGCTGTGACGTTTTAATCCACGATTTCTTCGGTCCACTGAGGCTATCGCGATTAGTCGAATGCACCCAAAGCTGTGCGTACGCAAACAGTTATTCGTCAGTCTCATGCTTCCGTGGCCACAGCGGCCGAATCGTTTTCATTCATCTTGATCCTCAAATTTGCTTTTATTTGGTCACATCTCATCGGTTATTGTTCTTGATATGGAGGGGACAATACGAAAAGATTGCCTCTAGTAACTCGTCTTCTTGTTGTACTTTCAAATTGCTGAAGGGAATTAATTGTCTTCTTGTTCGTTTCCGTTTTAATTAAACATTCTAATCAATACATAGCTTTATCCGGCACAGTTAGCACTTACCAGTCATCATGTAATTTTGAGTCCAATGAGAGTTACCGAGAAGAATTCTTTACTCAGGTTCTGTTTCTCATTGATTCATTTTATTATAGCAGTAGTGGTCAAAGCAAATGAACCATTTCAACATCATTTACAAATCGATAATAGCCTAAGCTATCTTCTAAAGCCGTCGAACGCTGTTGGATCTCTGGGAGCCAATTTAATTTTTATGCGTTAGAAACGAGCATGACAGTTAGAGTTGCACTGTCATACTTTACAGCTAGTCGATTGACCACAGCGGTTAGCAGCCACCTCTTGTTATCTAATGGTCCTAACCAGCGATCTGAGCATCTGGCTTCGTCAGCTTTGTGGCCGGCATTCTCCAAAGTGAACTCTGAGATCGACACATACAACTGCGTGGTCGGGATCCAAGTTGATGCTCCAAATCGGGCGACAGTTTTGGACACAAGCTTTCCGACTGCAACTGATCGCGATGCGATTAATTTGCTCCACGGCTGATTTGAGGTTGGTGGGCGTCATGTCACCATTTTTCAGGTGCTGTGCCAGATTAGAGCTCTCGAAAAATAGACGAGTATCTTCACAAAGATGTATCAACCGCTCACAGTGCTGACCACCCAGATGCAGCTCATCAGTGGACAGTTTTCTAACTTAGGCGTTCAGATCACCAAGAAGCACTACTTCCACTGTGACGGTACAGCTCCTTCCGTGGACTATACTTGTCTTTTACCTAGTCTACACTATAGGTTGTGGGGGTATAGACCGCAATGACAAACAGACACCGTTTGTCCCCAAGCAAACTTGAAGTCTTGAATGAATTAACCAATCTGACAGCGTATATCCGGCTAGTGATTGGGGTCTAATCGATCAGAGCAGATTCAACGCGGAAGGGCTCAGCAATGCCCCCACTGGCGTGACCCGCATTTGTAGCTGCGTCATATCCGGACAAGGGCAATGCGAAGGTACCGCCAGTGTCGCATGTGGGGGTTCGCGGGGTAAACACACAACACGAATCTTGCAGACACGTCTCTGATAAACAGCAGATATCAGTCAATATTGTCTCTAGTGTTCGGGTATGCCAATCATAGGGGAGATTCATGGCTCCAAATAGAAAAGGATGTGCTGACGTTGTCCGCTTGATTGAAGATGGATTGTTGATTGGGCTGGAGCGACTCCCTGCGATAGCGTGTGAGTCGAAACGAGAAGACAAATGATTATTGAAGCAAGATGGGGAGGGCGCATAACTGGGACACGGATGAAAGCGGGGTGGCTAAAGTTAAGTTGGAATGAGACGATAAGGATGAAAAAGCGCAAGTGGGGAAATAAGAAGACGGGAAGGCTTGTTCAGTAGCATCTAAATCCCTGTCCACCCTGCTTAATGCAGCAGATAGAACACCGTTGATTAAATTCGGTGACAGTCATAACATAAGGGAATTGTTTGAAAGGAAAGTCACCGTATTTTGTGAGCAGGATACTTTCAGATTGCTCAGGCCCAGACAGAACAATGGTTAGCTTTCTCAACTCAAGTCTTAGGCCCAAAACGCTTACCGCAAGGCAGCGAGGTTTTGTCACTGGGAAGAGAAACGTTGCAAACTGTGGTACACAGGGTTTATATTACGTAGTAAGGAACCATCCTCATTCCACCTCCAGGGCCAGGGGACTGAGTATGTTTGGCCTCTAACTAATGGTCAATCTGGTACGAACACATCTGAAGGCGTGAAAGTCCCAACCAGCACAGCACAATGGATCGTTAAGTCACGTAAACCAAGCCAAAATCCACTGTCGTCCCAATGACTGTGAAGTACTGGACATCGGCTCACGGCTTCTGTGAATGTCCATTGGCTGTTTGACGGACTTCAGCTGTGACTAGTATCCTACGAAAGCTCCGGAATAGCGTGTGGCGTGAAACTTCGTGCACCGAAGTTCCGGTTAAGTTGATTGTTCCACCATCATCGTATATTTATTGGAACACAACGCAGCCAGCGTTTACCTATATTTGTCCGTTCTGCAGAAGACGTGGTAAAAGCAGCTGATGGTGGTAGAGGTCGGTTGAGTAGATTTGAGGGGATAATTAGGCCGTTTCCTCGCCGACCAGCAGGTACAGAGGAAACAGTGTGAGAAACCACATCGGTCCAGCGATTCGATGTCTGGACAGGTACAAATTAACTACACAAGCACTAATGCACCATGTTCCGAAGTAATCGATCGCCAAACACCTGTTCTGCAATGGTCACCGGTTTAGTCAAAAGCACAGGGTTCAGAGCTGTCTACTACGACAAAGACACCGGAATACTGTCATTCACGGATCCCTCGTGCGCTTAGCTGTGTATATGTGCGTTCACGCGTAACTAATGGGCGCCTTCAGTGTGTCGCTTTCTTATCTGAGCTTAGGGTACACCATTAGCCTTTGAACGACTAAAAGTCACGGACTTATGACATCTTGCAGCACCCATCCTGACAATGTGTTTTCGGTTTGGCACATAGAATTGGATATTTGAGTCTACCTTAAATGATCTCATTGTTGATGGACTATTAAGGTCCTTGACTAATGCGGGGCGAGTCCGTATGAGATAGTTTTGGGCAGCGTACAGCAAGTGCGAACCTTAGGCCGATGACTAGCACCACATATACCACTTCACTAAAAAAATGATCAGAGGGGAACGTCGCTTAGGACACAGTGAGTGTTTGTCAATTCAGATCGGACCTCTTCAGTATGCCACTCTGAGATTTGGTGAAGCAGACTGCACAGTGAACGTGCCATGTTTATCAGACGCAGGAAGCAAGACGATATCAGATGGCAAAACTCATAGCATGCACTTTGCCACTTGTTCCTTTGTTGACCGTATGGGAGTAACAGCTGTCAGAGCACATCATTCTGGAAGGACGTACAAATTATCATTGCCGCACACTCGTTCGTGTGCGCTGGATCACATTTTGCGTACTCAGTTCCTTATCCTTACCTTCTGTTGAGGAGCGCTCGCGTCTTTTCGGCCTTCGACTGCTTCGCATTGTTGTGAAGCTTAGTGATCATGATGTAAGATCACTTATCAACATCCAATAAGCAACCAATTCAATAGGCACAGGCAGTAGTAGGTAACGTGTGCTTCTGTACGCTCATGTGCGGGCGAAACGAGACCCTCAGCACCGCCCCTTCGCAACAGCATCGTGGGCAGATGAAGGGGATGTAGATCCAATAAGCGAACTGAGTGAGTTAACCGATTCGGTAGAAATGGGTGTTACAGGTTCTTATTCTCTTCCCATGCCTAACAGCAGTCTTGATGTGCGGACCATCGGACAGTACGTACGGCATCGTCGACACAAGTGAAGTGATAGAAAGCGCTGAAAGTCCATTTGTTTGCACGCAGACGACAGACGTTGAGCAGTACAGCCCTTAAAGTCTACCACAATATGTCGCCTTGACAATTTACCGACTGTTTTGGTAAGGAACGTTGGTATGTGAACCCAAATTCGCTTATCGAAAATCTCAGCTACAGCCTGAGCATACTTGTCCTGACACAATGCATTTAATTGGTACAAGTACCCTGCTGCAAGACGGCCGAAATAGTATGTCTCCGTCAGGTCCGTTGTAAGCACCAGGTCCTCTCCGATAGCTTTTGTAGACAGAAGCCCGCCACACACTGGCAAACCTCCTTTAGCTTGCCAGCGTCAAAAACGCGGTCGGAGTGGTAAACACGACGTATGTTAGCGTAGAAGTTGGAGTGGCTCCTGTACCGCTATATCTACAAAGAACCAGCTTCGCCCCACTATCTCAGAGGACTTCCATGAACGCTCGCCATGATACGTCCATCTTCTGTGTGCAGCCGATTTGGCGTGCACCCCAACTATTATGCCTACCGAATGTCATCCAAGTGATATATATCACAACTTGAAGGAAATCTGCTTCAGGCCCTTTCATGCAGTGTGTATTTTCTCGCGTAGGTGAAGGTACAAGGCGGATGCACGTAGTTTAATTTTCTAAGCAGTAGGCTCACAATATCGAAGCAACCCGGCTCTGTCTGATGAGAGCTAACGTTGTTCCGAAAGCTAACTCTACCCATTATGCCATAGCAACTTGCAGAACAACGGTGAGTGGGTTGTACGGTATTACAACCGGTTGCATAGGCACCCTGACTGTCATCGTTGTCAACCGTGGTCGTTAAACCACTGCTGCTTTTATTTCTAATGGATTTAACACCCTATTCGTGTGTCGCGAATCAAGACCTTATGAAGATAGCGATTGAAAAGCTCCATTTTGAAAATTGATGTAGTCAGCTTTATATTTTACCTTTTCATGCCTAGCTGACTGAATCCAAATTGGACCCATCATATCCAAACACTGTTTCATATTGTTGTTAATATAAAGATGGTATTCGAATGATGATAGCGAATTTTCCCGTATAACCCATTGCTTTTTCAGGTATACGAAGATCAACAAAGTGAATTTTGGCGCTCGTTAAAATCGAATTCAAACGACGATTCTAATGTGGCGCATCGACAAGGGGGCAACTGTGTGAACCTTACATACAATAGCTCGGATTCTAGTGGGACTCGATCGAGACATCTAGATCTACCGCATTATGAAAGAGAAGCGGAAGAGGAACGTTGCAAACTATGGCCGACACCCCCACCCTACAGTCCCAGTGTTTTAACAGTAAACTCACTGCGAAACTCCGACCTCCAATCCCAGGACTACAATGGGCATGGGATCGACCGGGCAGGCGGGGGGAAAGAAAACACCAAGCGGCCTATTTTAGCGACTTTGGACGAACATCTGAAATCGCTTGAGAAACAAGACCAAAAGGAAAACGCTATCCAGGAGCGAAGTCCCCTAAAACTCCATGGTAAGAAAGCCGTGAATCACCAGGCTCCATGTTGGCGCAAAACAACCCACGACAAGTGGTTACTCGAACAGCGTGTCCAAACGAACGGGGGTTTTGTAAACTCAGAGCCGTCAAATTCCGTTACCGCGAGCGAGACCAAGTGCATTGAGAAGGGGGTGGCAGTAACAATTAATGACAGCTACAACGCCAAAATCCACAACGGGTAAGCATTCATGACACCTGTTCAAAGTTTCGAAGTGAATCATTGCCTATCTTGTAGTTGCGCCCGTGACACGATAACTCGTGATGCCCCCGCTGGCAAGCCAGACACAGTGTTCCGTTTCCTGGGTGATCCCATACGCACAGAGGTGAATCAGCTGGTGTATTGAGCTTCAGTCGACATTGATGTGCCAAATGTGGTGCACTTCAAAAAACATGTTTGGTGCTTGGTTCATGAGGATATTAAATCACCGTGTTGATAACTTATGTCCGGTTTCCTCCAAGAACATAAGGAGCATTGCCTCAAACATGCATGTAACGAAGACTATTTTTATCCCATCAATGCAAGGTTCTATTAATGTCGCTGGCACATCTGTCCGAGAGGGGATTGTGGATGCGTGTGTGTGTGTTTGTCATTCTGAATCAGGGCCTCTTGTATCGAATGTTTTGAGCGGATGCTGGCATGATGCATCGTCTGGTCATCTCAGTCGACACCACAGCATATTTGTTGAATGTGCGATTTATTTTTATCCACTGGTGTTGACGCACAAGATACCAGAATCGCATCTTTTTTAATTCACATGCGCCATATCACAACTTGCCGTTCCGCATTAGGAGTGCACCCATGCAGCATCCGCAACTCCGCGTGCGTCATAATTTGGTCGAATAAACTTGCTCGGTACGCAATGTTCCAGAAAGCTAAGGCAAATTTGCACGTGACTTACTTTCAGTAACAAGTGTTTAAGCATCGTTTCGTGAGCGCACGTTTGCGTCAGTAACAGACCTGTTTGCTCAGTGTGCATCGTTGCATTACTATGGGCCGCTTGTTGCATAAAACTCGTTCCTTTTCCACATCGCCTGGCATTATTGATGCTCTCTGATCAATTCCGATGGAATTTGTTTTCAAGCAACCGCTATTTCATGTGCTTTCTCCTATTTCAAATATCACGACAGAGGTGTCATCTTTTGACATGCTATGAGATTATTACGCCGGATGGCTCGCCTCTATCAGATATTTTCCGTGAAGTTAATCGCCATGCATTAAAACGCAACTGCGTCAAGTCGCTCCTCAAACGGTACACGCGTTTATCACATCCATTTTTGAAAACGGATATACCGACGTTTTCTCCCGACTGTCTGTCTGCTGTTGCATCATATTTTCACATCAGTTCGCGACTACTCCTCGGTTAGTATGCAGCAGCTAGACAATTCTCTGTTTGCTTGCCATATGTGTAACATTTTAATTTTAGTTTGTCGGGTACCTAGGTGAGTTAAGAAATTTGTTTGCACAAACGTTGTATATGAGTTAAACTACACGTGCGCTTTAGGTCCTGTTTGCACGCCGCCAAGGCTGCACGCCTCACTGCTTGCTGTTCGCTCGCTTCCGCTTTCTCCGTAGCTAGTCCTTCGTATTGACATCCGTTTTAACTTCGTATCAGTGAGGACGCGCAATAGTTTCACCGCCTAGGTTACGGGTTTCCCGTTTCACTGAGTGTGAAGAAATGGAACGTGAAGTGTCTGCCTGAGAAGTAAAATTCTCTGGCCAACGCGTAATAAGCGCATCAAAGCTGGTATTCATCAAACCATTGGCACACTTCTGCTACTTTTCGTGGCATATTTTTTTCTACGCATTCTACTGAGCGTAAACACTCCGGGTCCCGCTTTTGCCCAGCAACGGTTGCTCCACATTGTACAAATTTACCTACGTCTATGTTGTGGTCTAGGGTAGCGCATTCACGGTATCGTCAGGGCACCCTTGTACGATGCCGTACTATCCCTGCTGAAAACAAAACGTACTAGATGTGAACACCGGACACGCACAACGATTGCCGTCTGGGCGTCCGATCTTAGGCGGTAGAATTTACTTGTACCCATAGACCCGCGAGATGAAGCAATGCTGCCTAGATGTGGTTCACAAGTGAGCCAGTTAGTGGATAGCAGCCTAACAACAGGTCGCGTGCCTTTCCCGACATCCGTTGCGGCTTTGTACCCACTGGAACGGCTGCACACAGCCAAAACGCCCTGAGGATAGCTTAGCTTCCGCCTTGAGACCAACCTCAGGATGCAGTCAACACACTTGGCGTTAGGTTCACGTGACCCGAAACGCGGCGACTGTGAATCGCATCACTGCCGATGGCCAAGGTGATCGATTTGTTGCGTACCCGACCAATCAAAACGCAGGTTGAAATGCGTTTCAGTGTAGGTCGTATACGGTCACGTGTGCTACGAGGCATGCGGCAACGTGGTGCGTTCTGCTCTACTGGGCGTAGAAAAGGTACGTTCGGAATCGCCCCTGCCAATCATCATAGCGCGATTTACAGGTAAGTACTCCACATTGCAGTCGTATGCAAAACCCTCCTCCGAGGGTTGACAACTTGTGTGGTTCGTCAGAGCATCGGGATAGTCTGTAGCGGTGGCTGAACTATTTGACAGTTGTCCACCCAAATGGCATCCCAGGCTGGGCACCGTTGCTGTCTCTATGTGTGTTTTTCCATCTGCTTTCGATTTATAGACGGTCCTTAGTATTGGGTAGTGTGCCCCCAATGTACGTACAGAGGTCTCTATCGACCATATCCAGTTTTTCATATCACAGTCTAGGTTGTAGTTAACCGATAACCATGGCAAGCGTCACGAGTCCCCGGGTGGCAAAGAGCATTTACCGTCTTTTTTTGTCATATGCTGGTTTATCTGATCCGCATGTCCATTCAGAATAGCTCATTGTTCATTGTTGTTTAAAGCAGTGTAGAATGCAGTTCCACGGTAAATGAACGGTATCAAAATATCCCACTATCGCTGAACTAAGTTCTCACCAGAAACAGCTATAGATTTGAGCCTTTGGACCTGCGATTTACTACCGCCATCAAAACTTTTATTAGCTCAAGTATCCACCTTTAGTTCTTCTGAAACCGTTGCTTATTGCAATTCAGTGTGCATCGTACTTCCTATATTACACATCACTGGACTTAATCATATCAGAATCGTATGATTTCCCCATACTTTAATTCCGGACTATTACCGTTGTTAAATACCCCAGCTCAATGACGCACTCATGGAAGAACATAAACTAGAATTTCCTACTGTTCTAGTCCCAAATGAACTCGGACTTGACTGTGCCGAATCTTGAAAAATCACCGACCACTCTTAGGTTGCTTTCAGTCCTGACTTCACTGAAGCGTCTCCTTATTTCCGGTCAGAGTTTCTTCACTGCGCTGAATCACGCTGAGTTTAGTTACTACGAAGCTTGTCATAGCTTGTTTCCACCCATCAACAAGTCGATTGTATTGTTTAACAGACAGATAGCATATTATCCATCTGTCTACACGAGTAGGCGACCAATGAATGCCTAACCACGTCGTTACGTTGCAACCCGATTGATCACCATCTCCCTTAGAGCAAGTAGAACAGTACATCGTCGCAGAATTGTACACCGATTGATGGGTCACAAAATCTGCCAACGTTCGACGAGAACGACTGCATACCTTAGGTCCGTAAGCCAGTTGCCACTGATATGCACTCAGAAATGAGTACACACTAATTTAAGAACTAAAGGAACTTGCCATCCCTCGGTCACATTGGCTTGGGAGTTTGCATTTTCAGTTCCATCCACTACACCAGCTATAGTCGCAGTACAAACATGCAGTTATCATCGCTTGATATGTCCAAAAATAAAGGAGGGTGTAAAGCGCGGGAAGTACGAGGATACTTACAAATGGGGATCCAACAGAGAAGTTGAAGCGGAAATGGAATAATTTCTCAGGAATGGAATAGATAACTCGAAGTCCTTTTCAGAGCGTAGGTGACCGTACTCAAGGAGATGCGACACAATGGAGCTATTAGAAAACCTCACTTCGTCTCAGTAAAATCATTTCGGTATGTGCTCGCGAATCCTATGAGTGAGATAGGCGCTTCGTAGTACGACCCACATTTCGTGCACCACGATATCACGAGTTTTAACAGGCATTGATCGGGTCAACGTAAGCGAGTAAAGGATTGTTGTAGTATACTATACGCAGGCGAGCCGCTAAATAGGTCTTGTCAACATTGCGGCTGATGCCCTGATCAAGCACATGAATGGCACTGTTGAGAAGACCTGTTTCACGGCTCACCTGCGCATAGCAGACCATAGCAAGCCTTTACTCGCAAAACTCTTGAGGGATAGACTGCCTACGTTGACACGATCAATGCTTGTTTATCAATACTCGTGCCTGTGGTGCATTATATGTAGGTCGTACTACGAGACGCCTATCTCCTAGGATTCGCCAGCATATCCCGAGGTCGTTTTACAGAGGTGGAGCGAGGTCGTCTGATGGAATAATTGTCAAATGAGAAGAATAATATGAAGCAAAAGGCGACGTAAGAAGGTGCTATTGGTTCCATAGCAAGCCCATATCTAATGAGACGTCTAGCCAGTGTCGCTACTGGTTCCGATGTCCCACTCCTTGAAGACAGTGTGTACGACCGTCAACAAATCTTGTGAGATCTCGTCATGGGTCTGTACCATGCCATACCACTTGGTTAAGACGTTGCCCATCAAGATGCAACAGCGGGCATTAATGCACGTCATAGGATACCGGCGAGCATACAAGAAACCTGACCTACCTACCACAAGCAGGTCAAGTTCAATGACTAATCACTAGACGTCTTATCTCTACATCACTAATTCAGTGCCCCTGCCATATATGGACGGCAACAGCAGCAAAAACGACCAATGATTGAAGATTTGTACTCAACCCGAGACCTACCGATAAGCACGGTGATGTCTTTCCGATTTTCCCGCCGTATGCAATACCTTGGTAGATCTACCGAGCAACGATTTAGAGTAGTTGTTTGGTGATGTTGGAAACCGGCGTAGTCTTGTCTTGGCGTCACCGTGATAGCCTGCACTATGAGAGTGCCAGACACGCGCCGTAGCATGTAACGTTCCGCAGCGGTCTCCTCGAAATGGCCTGCGCACCAGTCACGAATCGATTTCCCTAGAACTAGATTGCCCACGTAGTATCTGTT